TAAATGCTCCTTGGAAGTGAGAATAGGCAGACTTCATCTCACCTATTTTGGTCAAGTTGTCAGAAGGGACCATTCCTTGGAGAAGGATGTCATGCTTGGTAGGGTGGAGGGTTGACGAAAGAGGGGGAGGCCTTCAATGAGATGGATTGACACGGTGGCTGCGATGATGGGCTCAAATATAGCAGGGATCGTGGAGCTGGCGTGGGATTGGGCAGTGTTTCGTTCTGCTGTGCATGGGTCACTATGAGTCAGAAATAACTTGACGGCACCTAACAACAACTACACAAAACATTGTTCCCACCTCCTACTTTGGTGAGTAGTGACTGGGATCTTAAAAGCTTGCAAACAGTCATCTAGATGCAATGATGTGTCTTTCCTCATCCAGAGCAAAGAAGAATGAGAAAACCAAAGATTCATGCAAACAATTAGCCCAGGCAACCATGAGGTCCAAAGCCCATACAACTATGAGACCAGAAGAACTAAATGGTGCCCAGCTACCAGTGTCAACTACTCAGAGGGGGATCTACATAGGAGATCCTGGATGGAGTGGGAGAACAATGTGGAACAAAACTCAAAGTCATTGGGGAAAAAAAAAAAAGAGGGGGATCAGGTTTGCTGGTTTGATAGAGCCTGATGAAACCTTTGGCCCTTAGCTGTCCTTTAGGTCTGGAATTGAACCCACACCTGTGGCTTCCAGCCAAACAAAAGACATTCATATGAGGAGAACATTTACCTGAGGTAGACACACTCATTGGACAGAGCAATCATGGGAGAAAGAAGGGCTGTGAATGCACAGGGAGAAAGCTCAGGGTGCAGGTGTGCATGGAGGGAAGGACACAGGGAAGAGGTAGCTATGGGTAAGAAGTGGAAGGGTAGCTATTGCTTTGTGGTACAGTGTAGTCAATGTCATGAGACAAAGTGTATGTTAGCTCCTGTATGGGATGTGAATTTACTCTGTAAACTTTCACCCAAATCACAATTTAAAAAAAAAAAAAAAAGACAAGACTCTCTTTGGATAGAAAAGCAAAAACACGGTACAAGTGTATGAAATCAAAAATGAATTCAAACTAGCCTTCCTCAACAAGGAAATCCTTTGAAATGAATACTTTATACCACAAGCATGCATAACTTAAACATACATGTAAAATCTCAAGCCGTGAAGTTCCCATGAGTTCGCTTATGGTGAACCCATGTGTGTCAGAGCAGAACTATGCCCCACAGGGTTTTCAATGGTGAATTTAGAAGGCGATTCCCCTAGGCCTTTCTTCTGAGGCATCTCTGGGTGGACTCAAATTGCCAGGTTTTTAGTTAGCAGCCAAATGTGTTATCTGTTTATGCCACAAAGGGACTCATATATGTAACAACATACAAACATACATACATAAAACAATTCATCTCACTATGACCCCCCCCCAACACACACACACACACACACACATACCCCTCATTCTTAACTCACTGTAACAAAGACAAATTGAGAGAATACTTACTGTACCATGGGATATGGTCAGAAAACCATTTTTAACCGAACATTTCCTTTTCTGCCACACTTTTCGGATCCTTATGGATGAACAACAACAACAAATTAAGAGTTCAGAAATTTTGGACACATGAGATAATACACACAAAATTTGAACTGTAGCAACACCATTTTACATACCCATCACTCTTCTTATAGAGGTTGCCATTCCGTTCTGTTCCATGTTCCTTGTTTCCCTGAGGTTGATGTAAGCTATAAGCTGTACTCTGGCGAATTTGTGACTCCTATAAAAATGGTCAAGAAGTCATTTTAATACTGTCCTGATTCTGATAAGGAAACACATGCCTTAAACAAATAAGAAAAAAAAAAACAGATAAATTTCTCCTTCTATCCATACCAAAAATGGACATAAAATTCATATCCAGAACTCATAAATGCCATTTTCAGGCTACAGGGGGAAATATCAAAAATCAGTATTCCAAACTTGCCTGAAGAATGAGTCATTTAGAAGTTAACAACCTTTACTTAAACATGAGCCTGAAGTCCCTGATAATGGCAAGAAGCTCCTAAAATGGCTAAAGCAGCCCTCAAGAAGGAAGGCTATGTGATATGGTAGAAAGACTAAGAGTTTTGAAGATGGGGGGAAAAAAAAGAATCCTTATTCCAACTCTAACTATAATCCAAAAAAACCAAACTCACTGCTATTAACTCAGATCCGACTCATAGCAACCCCTCCCCTCGGGTTTCTGAGGCAGTATCACTATAGAAGTAGATTGCCTAACCTTCCTTCCGAGGAGCGGCTGGTGGGTTTGAACCTCCAGCCTTCAAGTTAGCAGTCAAATGTCTTAGTCACTACACTACCAGAGCTCCTAACTCTAACTACAGGCAAGTTATTTAAACTCTCTGCCTCTTAGAAATGAGTTTTCTTAATTGTAAAATAGGAATATATTACTCAGTAAGGACACTAAATGATACTAAGCACTGAGTCAGATATGTAAATACCTATGAAATGGCAGGCACTGAACAAATATTCATTATGTAATGCTACCAATCTCAAGTAGAGAGGGCTATGGCACTGAATCTAACTACTTCAGACCACTGACTGAGAAGACTATCAGTTACAGAAAGACCTATCCTCTTGGTCAGCTGGGAACCTGGCTGAGTCTGCCAAAACTGAAAATTCCAACCTATATGCTTCTTGAACACAAAGACCATCAAAAAATTCCCAGGGCATAAGCCTATTATCAGGACTCAAATGGTGCTTAATTGGTGGTTAACAAATGCTATTAGAAGTCCTGAGCCAAGAGTTAAACTGGGCCTATCAGTGCTAGCAGCTGGAAATTTGGGCAGATGGAAAGGAAACCAAGAGAAGGAAGATGTGAACAGATACTTCACAAGTCAAATGGACAAGGGCTTAGAGTTGCCTCTATCAGTTTATTGAGAACCCCCAATCCAGTTCATTTCGTAATAGAAAAAACCGAGACAACAATATCAAGTGACTTGCTCATTAAAGCCAGAGCAGAAAGTTGAATTCAGTTGTACCTCCCATTCTAATGATCCTTCCATTATCCCATGTTGCCTCACCAAGCACACATCTCTACCATCAAGAAGCTGACCATCACTGGGGAAAGTAAACAAACATGCAAATAGTGAAGGAATTAATACATGAAAATCAGTGTATTCAAGCAGAGAATACAGTACTTGAGTGAATAATTTAATAGAGAAAAAAATCACAGGAGTTTGGAAGAAACAAGTTTCAGAGATGAAGGCAAAACTGGCAGAGAAGAGGACATTCTAAGGCAAAAAGAAAGGCACAGGTACGACATAGAGAGGGGAAAGAGAAAGCTGTGATGGGTTGACTGAACTGGCTGAAATGGAGGTTCATGCAGAGAAATAAGGAGAAACACTGTAACTAAGATAAGTGAGTCTGGTGGTAGAAAACACAGATTGGAGTCAGAGTTAATACTTAGTTTTAAACCAACAACACTGAGCCATTTGTTGACAGTTTGAAAAAAAAAAAAATTATCCAAAGAGCTAAGCAGAAGATGAATCATCCTAAAGTAGAATCTGGAGTCTGGAAAACAAAAGAAGGCTGTGTGGATAATCCAGGCACAAGGTACAAATCTTAGGGAATGTCAGAGGTGCTTAATCTTTTGAAGCCACAGGATTCCATTTGAGGTCGTTAACCATTAACTTCAGAAAAATGCTCATTACACAAAATTTTCATATATTATTGGGGGTAATATTAGATACCCAGAAGCTAAGAGCATCTAGTTGGGGAAGAAAGACCTGGCAAGCTCTGGTGAAGCACTGGAGTTGAAATAGGCGAAAGAAATGAAGGACACAATTCCTGCCACCCCAAGCTGGAGTGATTGGAACTGTACAGTGATTTAAAAAAAAAAAAAAAAAAAGGAACACTAAGAAGGGTTTCACTTTATAAGGGAATAAAAAGAAAGGGCAGAGAGAGAGAGAGTTTTCATACTTTGTAGGTCAGCAAACACTCCTTGACTGACTGTATCTAAAGCTGGGATATACTGGATCCTGCCTCCTTTACCTGATCTAGCATTTCTAAATGTTTTTTTTTTTTTTCCCACCTTGAGCAAACATCCAACAGCAATGACTTTTTTTTTTCCTCCAACAGCTATACTGAGATATAATTCACATACTGTAAAATTCATACCTTTAAAGTATACAAATAAAATGCTTCTAAAGTATTTATGAAACAATATCACAATTATCACAATAAATTTTAGAACATTACCCCCAAAATAAACTATATACCCGTTAACATTCATTCCACATTTTCCCCTCCTTTCAATCGCTGGCAGCCACTAATCTACTTTCTGTCTCTAACAATTTGCCTATTCTGGACATTTCATATAAAGTGGATAGATCAATACAGTATGTGACTTTTTGTGTCTGGCTTCTTTCACTAAGAACAATATTTTTAAGACTCATCTATGTTTTAGCACATATCAGTACTTCATTCCTTTTTATGGTTTAATAGTATTCTACTGCATGGGTCTAACACATTTTGCTTATCCATTCATCAGTCAGTGGATATCTGGCTTATTTCTACTCTTCGTCTATTATGAATAATGCTGTTGTGAACATCTGTGCATAAGTCATTAGTGAGCATATGTTTTCTTTGCTTATGAATTTATTATTATTTTTATTTTTGCAGTGTTTCCTCTCCTCCCCTCCCAACCCTAGTAACCAACAAAGAAAGCTTCCTTCCATATATAAACCTTTCCTTGAATTTTTACAATAATGAACCCAAACAGTATTTGTCCTTCTGTGATTGACACATTTCACTCAGCATTATGTTCTCCAAGTTCATCCATGTTCTGCGATATTTTGCAGATTCTATGTTATTCTTTACTATTGTATATTATTCCATTGCGTGTTTGTACCATAGTTTGGCTATCCACTCTTCTGTTGTCGGATACCTAGGTTGTTTCCATCTTTTTGCTGTTGTAAATAGTGCTACAATTAACATGGGTGTGCATACATCTGTTCTCATCCTGGCTCTCTCTCACTTCTTTAGGATATATACCAAGTAATGAAATTGCTGGGTCAAATGGTGTTTCTAATTCCAACATTTGAAGGAATTGCCATACTGCTTTCCACAGTGGTTGTACCATTTTACAGTCCCACCAGCAGTGTATCAGAGTCCCAATCTCTCCACATCCTCTCCAGCATTGGTTGTTTTCTGTCTTGTGGAACTTTGCTACTAGTGCTGGGGCACAATGGTATCTCACTGTTGTTTTGATTTGCATCTCTCTAATGGCTAATGATCATGAACATTTCTTCATGTGTGTGTTGGCTATGAGAATATCCTCTTTGGTGAAGTGTCTATTCATGTCTTCTGTCCACTTTTCAATTTGATTTTATATCTTTTTGTTGCTGAGGTATTGGGAATTTTCTGTAAATTTTAGAGATAAGTCCCTTGTCAGATATGTCGTTGCCAAATATTTTTCCCAATCTGTAGTATCTCTTGATTCTTTTGGAGAAGTCTTTTGAAGCACATAACAATTTAATTTTCTTCTGCTGTTTGTGCATTTTCAGTTATGCTTCATAGTTTATTTATGCCATAAATTGTTGTTATGTGCTGTCGAGTCGGCCCAACTCATAGCGACCCCTCCTTGGGTTTCCGAGGCATTATCACTACGGAAGTAGGATTGCCCAACCTTCCTTCCGAGGAGTGGCTGGTGGGTTTGAACCGCCAGCCGTCTGGTTAGCAGGCAAGTGCCATAAATTAGGGCCCCTAAATTTGCTCCTAGTTTTTCCTTGAGGAACTTTATAGTTTTAGGTTACACATTTAAGTCTATGATCCATCTGGAGTTAATTTTTGTGTGTGGTGTGAGGTATAGATCTTGTTTCATTTTACTGCAAACGGATACCCAGTTTGGCCAGCACCATTTGTTAAAGAGACCAACTCTTTCCCATCTAGTAGATTTCAGCCCTTTGTCAAAAATCAGCTGACCACAGGTTGAGGGATCTATTTCTGGGTTCTCAATTCTGTTCCACTGGTCGGTGTGTCTGTCGTTGTACCAATACCAGGCTGTTTTAACTATTGTGGCTGTATAGTAGGTTTTGAGATTCGGGTGTGTTAGACCTCCTACTTTGTTCTTCTACTTCAATATCCTTTGCTTATCTAAGATCTCTTTCCCTTGCATATAAAATCAGTGATTGTTTTTTTCATATACTTAAAGAATGTTGATGGGATCGGATCAGGATTGCATTGAATATATAGATTGCTTTGGGCAGAAGTGTCATTTTCACAATGTTCAATCTTCCTATCCACGAGCATGGTATTTTCTTTCATTTATGTAGATCTCTTATGGCTTCTTGAAGTAGTCTTTTGTAGTTTTCTTTGTACATGTCTTGTGTATCCCTAAAGGTATTTATTCCCATTTTTTTTTTTGTTTATTGGCAGCTATTGTAAATTATATTGATTTCCTTATTTCTTTTTCAGCAATCTCTCTGCTGGTGTAGAGGAATCCAACTGATTTTTGTATGTTCATCTTGTATCCTGCCACTGTGCTAAATCTCTCAGTTAGTTCCAGTAGTTTTTTTTTTTTTTTTTTTTTTTTTTTTTTTTTTTTTTTTTTTTTTTTTTTTTTGTACTGAATCTCTTGGGTTTTCTAGGTATAGGATCATATCATCAGCAAATAGGGATAGTTTGACTTCTTCCTTACCAATTTGGATGCCTTTGATTTCCCTTTATTGCCTTACTGCCCCAGCGGACTTCCAATACAATGTTGAATAGAAGTGGTGATAG